CCTCTTTCATTGTTGATTATTATTATTTGAAGTTATTGTCCGTGTTATCATTTCCACTATTGATTATCATACTTGAAGTTATTGTTCAAGTTGTCTCTTTCCCTGTTGATATAGCTATTTCTTAGTGTTGAATTAGCCTAGTTGAGGTAAGTATCTTGCCTAACTTTGTATGGGGGAACTACCCCTTACGATTGGTATTGATTGATTCATTTGTGCAATGTGAAATTCGTGTACGCAAGGTGACGAGTGGGTACACGAGTTGTACGTGGTATTTGACCGGTTTAGGCTACTTAGACTCTTTCCATGCTTTAATTGAATTATAGTATCATGTTCCAAATTCTCATAGTCAATCTATTCTTATTGTGTTAGTCTATCCTTATATGCCTTAAATGATTTTGTTAACACTTGTTCTACAATCTAAGTAATAAATTGCTCTCATGCTTTTGTTTATCTTGTTGCCTCTATTAATGTTACATGTTACCTCATTCACTGTTGATTATCATTATTTGAAGTTATATTCCGTGTTATCTTTTTCACTATTGATTATCATACTTGAAGTTATTGTTCACGTTGTCTCCTTCCTTGTTGATTTAGTTATTTCCATGTGTTGAATTAGCCTAGTTGAGGTAAGTGTCTTGCCTAACTTTGTGTGGGGGAACTACCGCTTAGGATTGGTATTGATTGATTCATTTGGGCAATGTGAAAGCCGTGTACGCAAGGTGACGAGTGGGTACACGAGTTGTATGTGGTATTTGACTAGTCTAGGCTACTTAGACTCTTTCCATGCTTTAATTGAATTATAGTATCATGTTCTAAATTCACATAGTAAATCTAATCTTACTTGTTTAGTCTATCATTACATGCCTTAAATAATTTAGTTAACACTTGTTCTAAAATCTAAGTAATAAATTGCTCTCATGCTTTAGTTTATCTTGTTGCCTCTAATAATGTTACATGTTACCTCTTTCATTGTTGGTTATCATTATTTGAAGTTATATTCCGTGTTATCTTTTTCACTATTGATTATCATACTTGAAGTTATTGTTCACGTTGTCTCCTTCCTTGTTGATTTAGCTATTTCCATGTGTTGAATTAGCCTAGTTGAGGTAAGTGTCTTGCCTAACTTTGTATGGGGGAACTACCCCTTAGGATTGGTATTGATTGATTCATTTGTGCAATGTGAAATTCGTGTACGCAAGGTGACGAGTGGGTACACGAGTTGTACGTGGTATTTGACCGGTTTAGGCTACTTAGACTCTTTCCATGCTTTAATTGAATTATAGTATCATGTTCCAAATTCTCATAGTCAATCTATTCTTACTTGTGTTAGTCTATCCTTATATGCCTTAAATGATTTCGTTAACACTTGTTCTATAATCTAAGTAATAAATTGCTCTCATGCTTTTGTTTATCTTGTTGCCTCTATTAATGTTACATGTTACCTCATTCACTGTTGATTGTCATTATTTGAAGTTATTGTCCATGTTATCTTTTTCACTATTATGTATCATAGCTGAAGTTATTGTTCATGTTGTCTCTTTCCTTGTTGATTTAGCTATTTCCATGTGTTGAATTAGCCTAGTTGAGGTAAGTGTCTTGCCTAACTTTGTGTGGGGGAACTACCGCTTAGGATTGGTATTGATTGATTTATTTGGGCAATGTGAAAGCCGTGTACGCAAGGTGACGAGTGGGTACACGAGTTGTATGTGGTATTTGACTAGTCTAGGCTACTTAGACTCTTTTCATGCTTTAATTGAATTATAGTATCATGTTCTAAATTCACATAGTAAATCTAATCTTACTTGTTTAGTCTATCATTACATGCCTTAAATAATTTAGTTAACACTTGTTCTAAAATCTAAGTAATAAATTGCTCTCATGCTTTAGTTTATCTTGTTGCCTCTAATAATGTTACATGTTACCTCTTTCATTGTTGGTTATCATTATTTGAAGTTATATTCCGTGTTATCTTTTTCACTATTGATTATCATACTTGAAGTTATTGTTCACGTTGTCTCCTTCCTTGTTGATTTAGCTATTTCCGAGTGTTGAATTAGCCTAGTTGAGGTAAGTGTTTTCGGATACGGTGGGTGTTGATTCTCTGCGCAGCTTGATCGTTTGGAAATTCCAAGGTAGTTGCCCGGCGTTCGCATACCTTGTCTCTCCTTCTCTATCTTTTCGCTTTATGTATTTAGTTTCAAACTATCATAGACAGTATTTTCAGAATTGTGTTGTATAGACGCTCATGTACTCAGTGACACCCCGATGGTGGGAATTTTTGTATTGAATTTTGACCTTCTATCCAGTTTTTGAGAGTTTAATGATTTAAACTTGTGTTGTTTTATTTTTCATTTAAAAGTGTTGGAAGTATTTTTGAAGTGTCGGCTTGCCTAGTACCACGTTAGGCGCCATCACAACAGGCTATGTTTTGGGCTGTGACAAAAAATTATCTGGATTTTAACACTATACATTAAAACTATCCAATAATGTTTTCTGAGCCATACCACTAAAGTCTGGCAGAGGATAGTGAAGATAAAGGTGAGAAGGAGTGTGCCTATTTTCGAAAATCAGTTCGAATTCATGCCGCGCGATCAACTACAGAAGCCATTCACCTTGTGAGGAGACTGGTGGAGCAGTATGGGGAGAGGAAGAGAGACCTGCATATGGTGTCCATTGGCTTAGAAAAAGCATACAATAAAGTCTCAAAAGAGGTTCCATAGAGATGTTTGGAGGCTATAGGCATACATGTAGAATATACTAGGGTGATTAGGGACATGCACGAAGGAGCCAAGACCAGGGTAAGGATTGTCGGAGGAAACTCGGGACTTTTTCTAGTCATGATAGGGTTGCACCATTTTTATTTGCCTTGATGATGGATGCAAGACGCATCACATTCAGGGGGGTGTCATGGTGGATGTTATTTGCAGATGACATAGTACTGATACGCGAGTCGGTATTAACATTAGGCTGGAGGTTTAGATACATACCCTGGAGCCGAAAGGTTTCAGGTTGAGAAGCATTGAGACATAGTACTTGGAGTGCAAATTCAGTGACGTAACTCATGAGGTTTGCGTGGAAGTGAGGCTTGGTTCACAAGTTATCCCCAAGAGAGAAAGCTTTAAGTATCTTGGATCGATAATCCGAGGAAATGGGGACAATGATATCACATCGTATTGGAAAGGGTGGATGAAATAGAGGCTAGCATCCGGTGTCTTGTGTGATAAGAACGTGCCGCCAAAATTTAAAGGTAAATTATACAAAATGGTTGTTAGACCGACTATGTTGTATGGAGTAGAGTGTTGTTCAGTCAAGAATTCTTTATGTCCAGAAGATACAAATAACAGAAATGAGGATGCTGAGATGGATGTGCGGGGCATACTACGAGAGATAAGATTAGGAATGAAAATATTCGGGACAAGGTGGAGCCTCTTAGTGGACAAGATGCGAGAAGCAAGTTTAAGATAGTTTGAGCATATGAAGAGGGGATGTCCAGATGACTCAGTAAGGAGGTATGAGAGGTTAGGCATGGTGGGTTTGAGGAGAGGCAGAGTTAGGCCTAAGAAGTATTAGGGAGAGGTAATTAGGCATGACATAGCATAGCTGCGACTTACCGAAGAAATGCCCCTACTAGGAGAGTGTGGAGGTCGAGAATTAAGGTAGAAGGCTAGTAGGTAGTCGAGCATCTATCTAATGCATACTTGATGTATCTGTATTATTCGCGTATTTTCTTTTCCTTAGATTTTGATACTACAGGTTGTTTCTTGTGCTTCGATTATCTCATTATCTTGTTGTTATTCTTGCTTTTTTCATGGCTTCTCCACTGTCGTATTTATTTTTATAATTGTTGTGATTATGCTTGTTTTTAGCCGAGGGTCTATTGAGAACAACCTCTCTATCTTTACAAGGTAGGGGTAAGATCTGCATACACACTACCCTCTCCAAACTCTGTTTGTGATATTACACTAAGTTTATTATTGTTGTTGTTGTAATAATATTTGCTGAATGATAATTGTAAGAAAGAAAAAAAGGTCAATTTCCAATCCCTTTACTTTTTTATTTTTCTTCCACTTTAGGTGCAGGGCATCATGCACGTTTTGCTTTGGGGAAATTAAGGGCCTGAAGAATTGGACCTCCCTATGCCAGAAGTTTCTAGTTTATGATCCTCATTTTGTTTAAATAAATATGGAATATCCCACTGTAGAGGCACACAATTAAATAATGAACCACATCCACTCGCAATTAAAGATGTAAGAAACACCAGAAAGAAGAAAAAAGAAAAAGAGGATGCGACTCCTTATTCTGCTTGTATTTTCTATAGAAAATTGACAATCACAAAGATCCCAACCCCCCTTTTTTCTCTGCGCGAAATCACAACATAAATAATTCAATATTTTTGAAAACTTAAAACTTATAACTTTTTATACTTGCGTTCTGAGTTTTTAAAGTCAAAATTAAAAATTACATTCGGGAGATTTAAAGTTCTGCAAGCCAAGCCAAGCCAAGGGCGTGCGGTTCTAAACACACCCTTTTATAAAGTCTATTATCTTTTGTTGTTTTCTTCAGAGAAACATTCCTCCAAGATTAAATTACATATCGTTCCATTATAGGAAAACGATGCATCAAAATTTGGTTTTATTGTGTTGCAATATAATTCCTCGATGATTGTATACTGTATAGCCAAAATCATTTGGCACAAGGGCAAATTGGCCATTTTAAACTAGGTTAAACCAATCATCAATAACCTCATGGAAATACAATTGAAAATCCCTCCAATTGACCAGGAGGTTTGTCCCGACTAAGACAAAAGGCCATATTTAATAAATATATATTGAATTCGTGGAAAGAAACTAATATATTACAAAGTGTAGATCCCTCATCCAAGGGTAATCTGCATTGACGTTTTTAGCCTCAAAACATTTGCTGAAAACGCCTAGAAGATTATGTCAATATGCGGTTCAGAATTTCTGTATCCACACAAAATAGTAGTGATTTCCTCAAACTGACGCTAAAATAGAAACTTTCTCATTCAATAAATATTAACATAAGTGTTTTAAGAAATAAAAAGAACCACAAAAGCGCGAATCCAGATAAAGAAGAAAATGAGAGAAGACAAGGAAAAAAAAACAAGACAATCACTCTCCTCAAACTACAACCAACCTAGAAGAGAAAAGACTTCGAGCTGGGGATGGTGCCAGGCCAAAAAGGTCACTGCAGGAGGCACCTCACAAATATGCTGAGAAGATAACCCAAATTGAGTTGAAACATGAGATACACTGGCAATAATTGTTTGTTGCCCTCCATTCATAGCCCCACCTCCAAACTTATCCATCCCAGCAAAACCACATTTACTGGGGACATAATAGCAAAAGCGGGAAAACAAATAGGAAACTTGCACTTTAAGTAAAAATAACAGCACCTTAAAAGCACTTCCTGTGAACAATGGAAGGACCAGACTCATCATACTCACCCTTTGAGATCCACATCTGATTAAGCACAAAGACAACAAAAATTCAGTCTAACTAGTAAATGTAATTTGAAATGGAGAATATTAATCCAAGAAGAATAAAAAGCTCACCTGTTGGAATGTGCTGAGGGATGCAAGAATGGATCCTCCAATCCAGACACTGTACTTTCTCTCTGGTGGTGCAACAACCTTAATCTTCATGCTGCTTGGAGCTAACGCAGTGATTTCCTTGCTCATCCGATCAGCAATACCAGGGAACATGGTGGAGCCACCACTGAGAACAATGTTACCATAGAGGTCCTTCCTAATATCCACATCACATTTCATGATGGAGTTGTAGGTAGTCTCATGGATACCTGCAGCTTCCATCCCGATCATCGATGGTTGGAAGAGAACTTCCGGGCAACGGAACCTTTCAGCACCAATAGTAATAACCTGTCCATCTGGCAATTCATAGTTCTTTTCAATGGAGGAACTGCTCCTGGCAGTTTCAAGTTCCTGCTCGTAGTCAAGAGCCACATAGGCAAGCTTTTCTTTCATATCACGGACAATTTCCCGTTCAGCGGTGGTGGTGAACATGTATCCTCTCTCAGTGAGGATCTTCATCAGGCTATCAGTAAGGTCACGACCAGCAAGATCCAAACGAAGAATGGCATGGGGCAAAGCATAACCTTCATAGATAGGGACGGTGTGACTCACACCATCACCAGAGTCCAACACAATACCTGTCAAAAGTTATTTATTAATTCAAAATTATTTCATCAGGCAGACAAACTTGGATCATGGAAGGACTAGTACTAACCAGTGNGGGGGGGGTCAATTGAATTCTCCTCGTCGGAGAGTTACAGTGTGCAAATAGGCTAAAAACAAATTTTCTGTACATATATAAAATGTTGAATCCCTTGATAACTTAGTGTATTCACGGCGTGGAAAGTTTGCAATTTTTTAATCCCTTTGTAGCCGCTGAGCACAAATATAATAATTTTTTGAAATAATTACACTTCTGTTTATCAGAATATATACAATTTTAGGTGTCAACACATAAAAAAACATCACGATACAGATTGAGGTGGGCGTTTTACTTGTAAGTTAGACAAGTGAAATGCACTAAATCCCGGTCAATTTAGCTCTCAGTTAGGCAAATACAAATGATATAATACTGCAGACATCATTATAAAGGGTAACCTTGTTTTTCTCGTATCCCAGCAGAAATCCTTATTTTCAGTTAAAGCAATGTTTTGTGACAAACAAAATGAGTATACAGAGATTCAAAAGAGCAATTATGGAAACAGTTCGATTATGCAACAACAAGAGAGGTTATTAAAAATAATCAATCATTTGAAATAGTAAAAAATGGTAGATCTAGGAAAATCCTGAGCAAAAATCACTTTCATGACAGATTCACAAGGGAAGAAATCATAAAAATAACAGATCTTCATAAATTCAACCGAATATCACCCCTAAATCTAACCTCATCTCACCAATTAGAGCAGTAAATACATCAGAAAGACAAACAGCAAAAAAACTAAACAAAGCATCAATTGAACATCAGAAACCATAGCTCTTTTACCACGGCTAATAGATCTCAATGCAAAAACTGAAATACTTTGATTTTTTTAGCTATTAAGCTATTAAAAAAAACAAGATCTGATAAAGCAGAGGATAGCTTACCTGAAAACGATAGAGGAAAAAAGAGATGAAGATGGATCCGAGAAGCAAAGCCAACCAAAGACGAAGGCCGGCTCGCTTTCTCTCTCTACACTCTGTTGAAACGCTGTAAGGAGGTTGAAAGAGAATCAATGTGTTAAGACAGCAGACAACAATACATATATATATAATATATATTGGGAACAAAACAGAGTGGCTTTGAATTTATGATTTCTTTTTGTTTTTTTCATATGTTACTGGAATATATTCATTTGTGTGCATTTTGAATTTGATGAAAAGAGGTGGTGAGCAAAAAAAGAGATCCCGGAACCAAAGTACTCATAAACAAAATTGGTAAAAAATATAAATGATGTGAATAAATAAAGAACAAAATACATATAGCATATGATAGCATACGGTGTATGAGTTTGGGTAACAGTCCAGCCTTTAAACCAGGTCAAACTCACCCATGCGCTATATTACCCTCTCTTTTTTTTTGGTTTCATATTAAATGTATTTTACTTATACGTATTATGTGACGCTTATTTGGCGATTTTTACTTCTTCACTATTATTTATATTGTTAAGAATATTAAACATGGTTACAATTAAATTAAAATAAGCCATCAAATATTTGCCTTAGCCTAAAAATAATCAATAACTCCTTAAATTTTTAAATATACTCATCATTAAAATAATATTTACACAAAAAATTAATATTTAATTTAATATATACGAAGTCTACTAGCTATCAATGGGTCTCACATCATGTATGCCTTAGCCTATTTGTCGGCCTAAGGAGCATACCATCCAACCACCCACAGTATTAGGGTCATCCCTATCCCGCTTCCTCTTAATAAAATGTGTTTCTCTCTTCTTTGCATTGATTGGAATAGACTTCTCCTTCTGACCACTTGGCACTAGCACTACCCTGAGCATCTCATCTAGGTCATCGAAATCAACGGGAGCATCAAGATCGGTAGATCATCAACGGAACAGGAATCATCTAAATTATTAGGATCAACGGGATACTCGGCAGTATGGCTAGACGGATCTATAGAAGAGTCTCTATGCACCGATCGAAGCTATAAAATTATATTTAAAAATAAAAAATTTTGACTAATATTCAATGAATATTGAATAAATTAAATATTATTATGGTCTAATATGTGTCTCAACGGGTCCCTAAACGGCCTCCTCGATGGGATGCTCGGGGAAATTGCTAAATGAATTTCGCACAGCTGTGGTGTCTCCAGCAGACGGGTTTCCTAAGCTACTAACACCGTCACATGTGCCAAAGGAAGCTAAAAATCATATAAATATATTAGTAATTATTGTTAAATATTTAGAGTTTAATGAATAATATAGATATTATTAAAGTGTAACATGTGTCTCAACGGATGCTTGGGGTGATCTTCTAATGGAACTGCACCACTAGACGGGTTTGATGTCGCCAGCGGATGGGTATCTATATGTCACGCCCCAAAATTATGTGTCAGGCACTCGATATCTTACCCGACCCGAGTGGACCAACCCATACAATAATATCCACATATATGCCTATTAGATGCATGCGAAAGCCTTTTTAAAGTATCATCATTTTAATAAATAAGACAAAGCATGAATATCGCCTTTAAGTCGACCTTCTTTATTTAAATGATAACTTCATAAAGGTAAAGAGTTTCATTCATGCATGTCATATGAATAATTATAGAATTACAATCAAAAAATAAATAAAACTATTGTCTATGGAATCTTTATGACATGGAATGAAATAGTTATCTGAGGCATACCTCAGTAGGTATGACTCAAAACAATAGTAATAAAGTCCTCCACGAGTACAGGTGTGGAGTCTCACCAAAAAGTAACAACAGGAGATATAGAACAATCCTACCCACGATGCTCAAGCTGCTCACGTCCGATCCCGAAATAGATAAATAAAAATTTGGCCAACAAGCCTAAGCTCCACATGCTTAGTACGAATCATAACCCGTTTTCCAAAATAAAGAAAGTGGAACAAGATTTTAGAAATATTAGATATGCATAACAATTGATACATGAAGGAAACATTTATATCCATTAATAATGACAATGAAATAAGGCAATAATGTGAAACATATTTCAAAATATTCATTTACTATCAAGCTTTAATAAAATCAATTGAGAATTATCTTTAACCGGGACCATTATACTGACACCTATATAATAGAACAATACTAGATGATCAACCTAGCAATAAGTATTTGACCTACTTGTCCGAGCGGCTTCCCGTAGTACCATACAAGTCAAATTAACCTTATTTCATTAAATAATAATTAATTGCCCTCACAATGGAGGGACTTTATCTCATAAATCTTGGCTTAGCCTTGAAATTTGTCCCTACACTGGTATGTGTAGTTCCATGATAACAAACTCAATATTCGAATCAATCTTGGTGGTCTCCACTAGTAACTTTCATAATATTTGATATTACAAATAGATTCATAGACTAAAAGCTTCAAAGAATTCATTTTATCAAATCATAGTGTTTATAACCGATCCAACCTTTTGAACAAAATCAAGTAAAATTCCTTTCTCAATTCTTGTAATAGTAATTAACAAATGAGAATTTACCTTTTTATTCAACAAGTGTTACCTTAATGTGTATTTCTAAATATTTTTACTTCACACTTTATAAGAGAAATCATATATCTTTTACAATGCAAGGAGTGGTACAATCCCAACCCGCTCATTCCCACAAGTTATGACTCACATTTAGAATCCATTTCTAAATCAATTTTCGATATGAATTTGGAGAAAAGCTCTAAAAGGTGTTGGTAGGCTATAATCTTGTATTTTAGTCACATATTACACTTTAATTGAGTTAGAGTTTTAATCGCTAGTGTTTTGTACTAATTATGTATTTTATGCCTTGTATGAGTGATTTCGAATTATGTAGATGTTTTGGAATGAATTCGGGTTGTTCTGAAGCTTTGAAGTCTGAGTAAGAACCCAAGGATTAAGTTGGAGTCGTGTTTGGGGATCAACGGGCAATAGTACACTTAACGGGAGAAACAAATCGCGAGCAAGAGGTCACCTAGGTGCGCGATCGCGCAATGGGTGCACAAGTAGAGAAGTACACTATCCAAAGTGCGCATCCATATGCACGAGAACACCTCCAGGTGCGCGGATGCACACGTCCAATCCCGGAATTGTCCTATTTCGCGTAGGAAAAGGTGTGTTCATTTGGGCCCGACCCTAATTGATATATATACATGGAAAAATAGTATTTTCTGGACTTTTGGCACATCTAAGACCTAAGGAGGCTAAGGAGGAGTTGGAGAGAAGCAAAAGTACAAGGAGTTCATCATTCAATCCTCACTCAAGACAAGAATTTGGATTGTTTTATGTTTTCCTTTACTTTAAACATAATTGTGATGAATTGCTCCATATCTATGGAGTAGTTCTCTTTAGGGTTTGATAGATTTGGTGTGTTGATATTTATTTATGGATTATAACTCTAGTTTTTATGTATTAAATTATTTTGGATGATTTAATTGTTGCATCTATATTCACATATTCATGTAATCGAGAGAGGCATAACTTATGATATCGTTGCATTATCTTGTTGGTTGAGTTCATTAATTCTTCTTAGTAATCGAAAGAGACTAGTTGAATTATTGTTTAACCCTAGTTAGGAGGATAATTGAGAGAGGTTCTCCTAAAGATCAATCCACTATGAATTCTAGCATATCTTCACTGAGCTTAAATTGGTTCATATTGTGAGGTTGAGACTTAATCGAGAGAAGAGTTTCTACTAAACGTTTGAACTAAAAATTGAGTGAATTCGAGAGAATCACTTGAACATTAAAAGTGAATTAACTAGAGTTACATCCCAAACATTTATCTTGCACCTATCCAATCAATCCTTATTTTCTCCCATTGATATTTTCCTTGTTTATTGTCACGAGCCAATTTCCCCTCCGTGTGACATCGTGACGGCACCTAGTCTCTACAACTAGGTAAGCCTAACATTTTGCGGAATAATGAAATAAAAATATAAATTTAACCAACTATTCAAAAATACACAACAAATCTCAAAACCCGGAACATCATGAA